AGAGCTTGTGATAAGACTCCCTATGAATTGTGGAGCAGAAGAAAACCTAATTTAGCTCATATGAAACAATTTGGTTGTACAGCCTATGCATATGTACATAAGGAAAACCGTAGGAAATTAGACCAGAAAGCGATTTTTGTCAGTTACGATAAACGATCAAAGGGGTACAGAATCTACACAGGTGAAAACCATATAATCATCAGTAGAAGTGTAAAGTTTGTCGAAGAATTATCAGCGAATGAAAATGTTGGAATTTCTCTTCAAAGGTTGAAGATGTTGAAAATGATGAAGAAACTGAAGAAAAACACAAAATTGTATCCAAAGAAGAGCTTAGACGATCAGAAAGGAAAACAAAGGGAATACCACCAGAACGTCTAGGATTTCTAACAAACACAATCAAAACCATACCTGAGAATTTTAAAGACTTAGATAAATTGAATTCTGAAGAAAAAGAAAAATGGTTACTCGCAGTTGACGAAGAAATCAATTCCTTATTCCCAAAACAAAACTTGGGAACTGGTTGATCTTCCTGTGGGAAAGAAACCTATTGGCTGTCGATGGATTTTCAATCTGAAAGAAAATGAAGATGGAACAGTCATTCGTTACAAGGCGTGACTAGTTGCTAAAGGTTTAAAATCTGCAATCAACTAGTCAAAAATTTGGAACTTGAAATTTGGAATTGGAAGGAAAAATTTGGAAAAATCAAAAATTGGAACTGATTATGATCATACCTTTGCACCAGTAGTTCGACATACAACTATCAGAACTTTTCTTGCTGTCGCAGCATATGGTAAAATTCATGTGAGGCATGTAGACGTTACTACAGCATTTTTACAAGGAAATTTAGAAGAAGAAATATACATGGAACAGTCAGAAGGCACTTCAACCTGGACAAGAAGAGAAGGTTTGCAAACTTAAAAAAGCTATTTATGGATTAAAGCAAGCTGCTAGAGCATGGAATAAAAAAGTTGAAGAGGTATTAAACAATAGTAACTTCTCGCAAAGTACGGCAGACCCATGCTTATTTCTAAAGAAAGATGGAAATGATACGATAATGATTATTGTCTATGTCGATGATATCCTTATAGCATGCAAAAGCAAAGGAAAAATCAAAAGGCTAATCAAATTTCTCAATGAATTCTTCGAAGCAAAAGATTTAGGAGAAATTAGAAACTACTTAGGAATCAACATCAAAAGAGATGAAAACAAGTTTCTGTTGAGTCAAAAATCAAAAATAGAAAAATTGAAGAAGATATTTTGTCCAGATATCCACAAACCATCTTATACACTGATGGATACTTCTTATCCAAAGGAAGAGGACATCTCTCCACCTCCACCAGTGGACAATACCAAGTACAGGCAAGCCATTGGAGCCTTATTAGACATAGCCACTGTAACCAGACCGGACATTACCCTTGCAGTGAATCTATTAAGCAGGAAAAATGAATCTCCAAATGAGAAGGACTGGAAAGCAGTTCTAAGGGTGATTGAATACCTCAATTCTACGAAGGACATTTGCCTGAAAATTGACTCTGATAACACACCAACACTTTCCTGTTATACAGAAGCTGACTATGCATCTGATTTAACCACCAGACGATCAACAGGTGGAAATTTATTTTTTTTAGGAAATAACCCAATATTTTGGTCCACAAAGAGACAAAATTGTGTTTCCCTATCATCTACCGAATCCAAGCTTATTTCTGCAGCCACTGCTGCTCAAGAGCTCAAATGGATATTAGATCTCCTTAAAGATTTTGGAATAACTCAAAAACTACCCATTAAGATATTTGAGGACAATAAGTCCACAATAGCTCTTATAAAACAGGGGAAAATGAATACTAGGTTAAAGCATATTAATGTTAAATATTTCTTTTTAAGGAAAATGGAAGAAAATAAAATAATCGAGATAACTTACTGCAATACAAATTCTATGATTGCAGATATTTTTACTAAGCCATTGCCCAAACCAAAATTTCTGAAATTAAGAAGTAAGCTAAATCTTATTTCCAATATTTCCCATATGCATGATTAAAGGGGGGATTGTTGTAAATTAATCAAGCATTTGAGAATAAATAAATAGAATGTTTTCTAACTCACTTCTGGCAACCCTAAAAATGCCAAGATACATGGGCGTCAAACACGTCAACTATGTTAATCACGTGATATTAATATATCCCATCATCCTCTTGTTCTTTAGATATTATTAAGCTTCTGTATGTGCTTGTGTTAACATTAATGTATTTACCGCTTATATTATTTTAGTTGCAGTTCAGTAAATATGTTGTTAGTGTTTAAATCTGCATCGTATTATTTATGGATAAATCCCTCTCATCATCACAATAGTTTCGGAGACTCAACTGCTGCTACTGAGTGCACAAAAGGTAAGCTGATTTTGCTATCTTTATTCTTCAATACTTATTTAATGAACCACCACCCTAAGTCTATAATGGAATAAAATTATCTAACTATTACTTAATGCACTTCAACATTGATATATTCTAAAAAGTTAAATGTTTGGTAGATCTCTTCAAGAACTAAATTTTCCCTTGCCATAAGTTATCATATTTTGATTCCTTGTGTTATAATATTTTTTCTTAAACAGAATCTTTTTCATATGGGAATCAAACCAAGTTAAACAAAACAATTTTGGCTAATTTCAAGGTTCGACTAGCTTGAACTTTACTTGGCTTTTCTCACATTTATTATTTTCCAATCTATTTAATTTAAATCAATGGCTACAAAAAGCAGCAGTGCAAGATAATATCTAAACTAATTTGATTAAATTATGTAATGTAATCAATGTAATTTAGTCCAAAAAATTACATCACATAACACTGCCTTATGATGATCTTTTGTTAGGTTTGGTAAATTTGTAATAGATAGTACTGCAATTCATTTGATGGCATCAAGGACAGCTGGTATGATCACTTTTTAATTTAACTTGGAGTTAATTTCAGCCACTAGCAGTATGTTGTTCAAGTTCTGCAGCTTTTGAAACAAATACTGTTAAAATAAAAATAAGGATAGTTCTGTGCAGTATTAAAACATTTGTATTTAAAGAAATGAATGGCCACTAATGTAGATACATTAGATCAAAGAAAAGTTCACGAGGACTTTGCACCAACACTAAAGACTTTATTTTTGGGTAAATGGGTTTAAATGTGATCAAATTTTCACTAAGGATGAAACTCACTCTGGACACTCTATTAAAGCCAGCATAACAGATATCATAGAAAAAAGCCATGGTATTATTATGGAAGGTCAGCAAATGAAGGTATGTGAAACTCTAAGAGTGTAGGCATCTTGAATGAATAAGCGCTCAAAGTCTCGCACACAAAATTACAGATGAAAAGGTTGTAAACACAGTGGACACCAATTTGTTAACCAAAAATGAACATAAAAGGAGATTTCACATCAAGTTTGATGTTTAACTGTAATATGCAGAATATTTTAAACAGTTTCATGACTATGGATGAAACATGAATAAAAATGAATCAAAGCAACTGCCAAAATAGAGGGCAGCAAATGGTGAAACTATGCATAAGATAGAGACTGTTAAAAAAAGTAACAGCCTTTTTTTTAAAACTCTCATGCAGTTATCATAGCGACTATTTGGAAAAGATAAAAACAATAGCTTTAGTTTATTAATGGAGCATTTTATAGCACAGCTAAAAAAATATCCAAGATTTTAACATAAAAAAGTGCTCATTCACCAAGATTATGAACCAACCCGCAAATCAACTACTGTACTGAAAAAATTGCAAGAATTATCCGTTGAAATGATTCTTCACTGACTTTAGTTTCTAGATCGGTTTTGAACAATTCCTTTTTGCTCTAAAACTTGAAACTTTGGTTAAGTAGGATGAAATTTTAATTGAATAAGAATGCCATTGATACCATGAATACACATTTTTGCACCTTTGTAAAAGTTACTTTTCTGTCAAGATAAAAAATTGGAAACTCCACAGACATTATAAAAAATTGGAAACTCCGTGGTTACTGAGACATTGATACTACACTGAGAAATAAAATTACTTTTTTTTTGCAGAAAGCAATATTAAATTTATTTTATCAAATGTTTTTCATAATAATCTGCTTATAAATGTGGATCATGTCTACAATCATTCTAACAATATGTAATCAATCATTCTAACAATATGTAATCAATCATTTCATTAGAATAATTCATTAGTCTTTACGTAAATTCTTTTAACAGTTAATGTACAAGTGATTCAGAATATTCCTCATCTTAGATACATTTATCATTTTCAAAATATCCTCAACGTTATTTAACAAACAAATTGATGCTAATTGGGTTTTAAAGGGCAAACATTTAATCTTATACCCAAACATCAGTTAGCATTCATTTTATAAAGATTTACTACTGCACTTAAAATTTCAAACTGATATATGGTTAGAACTGATTATTTTCACAGCACACCAGAATATGCATAAATTTCTAACACTTTGTGATAACAAAAAAGTAATGTAATATAATTAAAAACCTGTTAATTTCTTTATCTTTTACAAAATCAATATCCCCATTCACTTTTGATCTGTATTCTTTTATGTCACAGAAAATCTATGACTTTCAAGAAAAATAACCATTATGTGATACTATATTGTAAAATAATTTTTACTTTAATGATTAGCTACAATAATATTAAGAGAATAAATTAAAAGAGATTTATATTAAATATTAAGAAAGTATATATTAGACATGATTATTAATTTTATGCATTTAAAGTGACAGATTTACATTGTTAAAACTAACAACTGTTATAATTTACAAGATTCAAAATGGCCATATTTGCAAAAGCAGAATATGTTGATGTAAAATTGAAAAATCCATTCAGTATTTTTCTTTTAGCATATATTTCTTTTAGTTTATGTTTACACAGTCTCCTTACTCTTAAGCTGCAATTAAATGAGAGTTTTTTTCTAATTATGGAAACACAAGAACTAAAAGAACTATTTCTAAGTAAAAATATGCTTACCTTTTAATTTTAAACTTGGGAAAATCAACAAAATTTTTAATGAGCACAGTAAATTTCTTTGAAGCTGCTAATAAAGCTCGCTTCCCTTTCCTAAAAAAATTAAGCATATAATTTATAGTTTAAAAATCAAATTAAAAAATAATAATAAAATTAACTAGCTCTCCTCCCAAAAAAATGCATTACATGCTCACATACGCAAGAAGCATAAAATAAAAAATAGTTTGGACATTCACAGTACAATAGTAAGATTTGAAGATACATGATTTGAGAGTACATTTAAAACTGAAACATATGAGCATAGATTGAAAGCTCAAGAAATTAAGGATTTTGAAAGTTAAGCTATCATATTGCTGTGAATTTTGTACATAGACAGATGATTTTAGTACAATTATATTTGAAATTGTCGTATTTTTCTGTATACTTTAACATGAAAATCTAGAGAAGCGAAGCTTGCTGGAAAAGTAAGAATACAGGGACAAATCTATTTAACTCATTTAACATTGAGTAAATGGCTATCTCACTAAATTGGTGACATATCGCCAAGGTGGCATTTGTTTTGAAGCCTAATGTTTGTTGCCAAATTTTGCAAGAAATCGCCAAATCGTCCCTCATATGCTTTTCCAGTAATTTCGAGAAGCAGAAACATCTTGGCAGCCAGGTGAAAACTAAATAAGACTGGAGAGGGCTAGCTTCGTCCTTTAGATGCACTTTGCATTTGTGTTTAATATTCTTAGAAGCTTGAAGTGTAACTGCTGATTGTACTCTGTAATACTGTGAAGAGTTATACAACTATTTTTGTGGAAAGTTCCAGAACTCTAAAGTGATTATTTCAATAAAATAAATTTTATCAGCCTATTATCGGAGCTCTGTGCATTCAATCTATTATGAACCCATAAAAATGCAACAAATTTTGGTGTGAGAAGTGGTATTGAATGCCAGTGACAAGAGCAAATGAGAGCGACTGTGTTTTGATTCTTCATCAAGTGCTGTCATCAATCATTCCAAATCCATGAACCTATAAAATGCAACAATATTAAAGAGAAATTTGGGGGCAGAAAGGAAAAGGGAAAAAAAGTATATGAAAAGGTTTCAGACTTTAAATTACGTCCAAAGGCGCTTTTTTTTTTTTTTTTTTTTTTTTTTAATGTTTTGTATGTTACCTTTATTTATTATATACAACATTGCCATTGCTCGCTTTGAAATTCTTAAACAAAAATTCGTTTAAGTTCTACAAAATATGAAATCAATAATAACACAAATTCCAAATTACGGCTGCCAGATGCTCCATATTCAGTGAAAGATTATGTTACTCAAAATTTAATGGCTCTAGGTACTGTTGTTTTATCACAGTGCAAGAAACATACATACATTTATGCATTTTCTTCATTATTTAATTTCTTTAAACATAATACAGGGCAATAATATTTGGTGGCAACAATTTGAAAAGTGAAACAATGCAAAATGCCAAAATGAGATTAATTAATAGTCCTTCTGAGCAAATTGCCCCTTTGGACTAAAAAAAAAAAAAAAAAAAAAAAAAAAAAGAAAAAGAAAAGAAAAGAGGAGGCTATTTTCTCATTAATTAAGAATTTTTATATATTTGACCATAAAAATTCAATATTTTGATATGAACCCATTAGCTGCGATGCAAAGGTCGAAATAAATGCATATATAAATATAACTACCTAAGATATTTTATACCAGCAGATGATTTTGTGTAGGAAATATTATGAAGATTATTTCTGTAAAAAATATTTGCCGTCAACAATCATTCTGTTTGTAATAATTAATCTCATACTTTAAACAAGATCTATTTTTAGTAAGGATCACTGTTTATCAGAACATTACATTAATCAGATGTTTATATTTGTGTTGGGAAGGAAGGGAAAGCAGGTGTTGTGCTGACGCAACATCAACAGGAAACGGATAATCTCTTTTTTTACTCATTCCTTTCCATGTTCTGGTTCATGTACTGGCTGCTTTAAAAATGCCTAGAACGAGGTATCTTATATTAGAAGAAGCCCTTCAAAGATATTTTTGATGAAGGAACAGATGATGATAATGTTAATAATGACCAGAATGAAACTGATATTGTTGTTCCCCCCAGAAATCGCAGAAGCTAGTGATGAAGAAAGAAATAAGAATATTTTAAATAATGATAATGATAGTTTACCAAATGATACTACTGGGGAAGTTGAAATTCACATAAGAAGTAAGTTTCAGCCTTCTAAAAGCAATGGCAGTCATACAAAAAAGTTTAAAAAGCAGAAAACTGAAAACTTGAAATGGATAAAAAAAGGAACCGTCAGTTATGTCTCAGGAAGAAAATGAAGAAAGAGATAGAAGAGAAACTATAAAAGACAAAATACAAGGTAAAACCAGAGAAGAGATTTTCGATTTTCTTTTTGGTTCAGACATTTACTCTCTTCTCTATCACCTCAATAATTGATGACCGAATTATCGATGGTTCTATCACCACCTGCAGGGTCCACAGACAGTCCTGCAGCCGAATGGCCTCAACATTGCATGTGAGGACCAGGAGACTGTGGACGTCCTAAAGACTTTAATTAATGATCTACCCGGCCCTGAAGAAAACCATCCAGGTTATCATGCCATGGCTCCTGGAGACAGACCCCCCATGAAGAGGTTTTTCGCTTGGTTTCCTGGTAACAGGTCACCAAAAGATAACATCAAGCTCCTTGATGCCTGTGTAACAAGGGCCTTGATGTTAAGAAGATCGCCATCAAGGCAGTTATCCCTGGAGACGGAGGTAATACCTTGGTGCTGGGAGTGGAACCATGAAGCTTATGGATTATCTGGAGGCCCAGAATTTCAAACTTTTTTGTGGTGCCCGTGGCTGTGTACAGCTGAAAGGAACCAAGGACAACAGGAGAAATCAATTCCTTCGCCCAAGGATCCTCCGAAGAAATAGTTGACGGAAGAAAGGGAAGACCGAAAAGGAGTCGGAACCAGAGCTTTCTTTGGAGGCTCGGGGGGAAGACATATGAATAAGGTCTCCCCTTGTCACTACTTCCTTTGAAGTAGTGGGTTAAGGATGCGGCTTTTAACTAAGTTCTCTCCTAAAATTCCTTAAGGGTAAGTTTCTTTCTCTCATTTAATCATGTTTTAATGGTTAAGGTTATGTCAGCTTAAACCTGCAACATAGCAGAGCAGCTTCATACAATTTTAGCTGCTCAATTAGGTAAGCAAGGCACTTTTGTTTGCCTTAATTCAAGAACCTTGGGTGTACAAGGGTAAAATCCTTGGTAGGCCCATGAACGCGCACTTCTTTTCGACAGAGGGACCTGATAAAAGACCTAGAACTAGCATTTACATTTCTAAAAATATAAAGGCTATGAAATTATCCCAATTTACATCAGAGGACTTAACTGCTATTTTAATTAAGGACATGAACAATTCACTGAGAGGAAACATTTGTTTTTGCTCGGTTTACATGGCTTATGACCTTAACATTCCGCAAGAATTTATAGATCTTGTGAGTTTCTGTGAAATAAACAATATTCCTATGGTTATTGGGGGTGATGTTAACGCTCACCACCTGTCATGGGGCAGTTCTGATACTAATCCTAGAGGAGAAAAACTCATGGAACTTATAATGAATACCAACCTAACTTGGGTAAATAGGGGAAATCGCCCCACCTTTGTTAACAGAAGAAGAGAAGAAGTCATTGACCTCACATTAACTTCTTCTGATATTATAATCTTATTGAGAATTGGCATGTAAGTGACAATTCCTCACTTTCTGACCATCGCCTTATACAATTTTGTATTAGGAGATGGAAATTCCAGCTGAATTATTTCAGAAACATTAAAAACACAAATGATTGGGACCTTTATAAGGACTTCCTGGATTTCTAATGTCATTAACCTTTCAGGTTTTAAGACAATAATTGTACAGTCGAGGAGCTTGATATACTCAAGCAAACAATTTGACAAATAATATCATTATTGAATCCTTATCATGCATCATGCCCTCTCAAACGAAGGAAGGGTACTCTTCCTAGCAAGAGAGTTTGGTGGACTAGTGAGCTTGAAAGCCTCCGCCATCTAGAGGTTCGGAGAGCTCACAGGAAAGCAGTCAGAAATAAATCTGAAGTTAACTGGTCTAACTTTCAAAATTCCTACAAAGGAAATTTAAAAGCGAAATCAGGAAAACTAAATACAACTCATGGAGATCCTTCTGCACAGATATTCTGTCCTACCATGAGAAACAGCCAGGAGTACATAAGGATTTCTTAAAAGGATCTCAGGAGTCTCAACTCTCATCAGTTATACGACCTGATGGCAGTTATACTATAAAACCTTTGGATACACTTTCGACCATGTTGAATTTTCATCTGGGGGACAAAAGTGTCACCTCTGACCCCCAGGAAAATCCATTGGAACTACTTCATAATCCATTAGATCTGGATTTTGCTAAGACAATTGTGAATTTTGAAAAGGCTAAAGCGGCCCTTGATGTATTTCTTCCCTTTTAAATCTCCAGGGAACGATGGCATTTACCCAATTCTGCTTCAGAAAGGCTGGGATATTTTTGGTCACATTCTCGTGGACATATTCAGGTCCAGTTGATTTTAGGATATGTTCCTAAGGTTTTGGAGAACTTCACGAGGGGTGTTTCTCCTAAACCAGGAAAAGATACATATGAGAAACCAAACTCTTTTAGAATGATCCCGCTAACATCCTTCCAGCTTAAGCTGTTGGAGCGATTGATTTTCTGGCACCTCCAGTCAGATAATAATCTGAAACATACCTTTGGCTTAGACCAACACGGTTTTAGGCCTGGCTTCTCTACTGAGTCAGCCTTACACCAACTCGTGTGGAGAATAGAAAAAACAATTATAGACGGACACTTTGCCATTGGGATTCTACTGGATATTGTAGGAGCCTTTGATAACATCGGTTTCGAGAAAATACATAAGGCCCTTACTGGAAGTCATATTCACCTTCATGATTAAAAACAGGAATATCTGTGTTAGACTTGCTGACTATGAAGTAAAGAGAGATATTATTAAAGGGTGTCCGCAGGGTGGTATTCTTTCTCCGTTCCTGTGGAACCTGGTTTTCGACTCACTCTTAGTACTTCTACGGAAGGAACCTGGCATGTCACAGGCTTATGCAGATGACCTTATTGTGTTATTACAGGGTTTCGATATCGGAACCCTACATAATCAAGCTCAGCAGATCTTAAATAAAGTTTCACACTGGGGTGATACAATGGCCTTTCTTTCTCTGCTGAAAAATCTGAGGTCATAGTTTTCACGTGGAGAAGGAAATGGAAAAAAACTGGCGGATTTATATCTGGGTTACCAGATTATTAGGCGTAAGGAATGCGTTTAAATACCTAGGATGTTACCATGGATAGTAAACTTACATGGATCACCCATATAAAAGAAAAGGCACAAACGGCCACAAATGTTCTAGTACTTTGTAGGCGAATCGTTGGTAAACAATGGGGCCTTAACCCAAAATCTACTCTATGGATTTATACTGCCATTGTCTGGCCAATGCTTTCTTACGGATGCGTGGTCTGGATTAATGTAATTAACAAAAGCACGTATTTAAACATTTTACAAAAGGTGCAAAGACTTGCTTGCCTAAGCATTAGTGGGGCTTTAAATAGTACCCCTACTGCTGCATTAGAATTTTTACTGCAAATTCCACCCTTGAAATTATTCTTGAGCGGAGAAGCAATTAAAGCCATGTATAGATTGAATAAAAACGGCACATGGTGCCAAAGAACGGGTTTTGGTCATAAAAGCCACCTGAAAAGCCACATTGAACATATGTCTGGACTTGGGCAATGAGATCCCTAATCTATATGCCCAAAGATGCAATTACTAAAAACATAGTTCCAGATAAACTATTCTCAACTCATATCCCAAAAAGGAATGAGATAGAATCTCTATAATTGACCTAATTCCAACAGGATCAATTGAATGTTACACAGATGGATCAAAATCCAACTTTACTGGAGCTGGAGCTGAGCTATTATTAGGACCAAGGGATCTGAAGAAGATTTCATAGATTTCATCTATACCTTGGTAAATTTACAACTGTTTTCCAAGCCGAGGTTCTGGCGATCAATATGGTCGCCAGGGAGCTCTTAGCTAAAAATACAGTTGATAAGCATATATAGATTCTCTCTGACAGCCAATCAGCCATCCTTGCCCTGGCAATCGTGTCAAGTTACAAAAACTGTGTTTTAAAACTGTACTCAGATCTCAATTCTCTGGCTCAGGCCCATAATACCATTAGTTTAGTCTGGGTCCCAGGTCATTGTGATTTTGCTGGAAATGAACTAGCTGATAAAGTAGCTAAAGATGCTTCGCAAACTACCCATGTCTGGTCCAGAACCATTTTACCCAGTTTCATATCAAACGGTTAAAAAGAAGTAAGAAGCTGGATAAAGAACAAACATGATGATATATGGTCTAAACTTCCAGACTGTGCTCATTCTAAATTGGTGCTCAGTACACTTACTTTTCAGGTAAACTCATACACCTCAGTAGAACTAACTTACCAGGTAATTCAAATTGTTACTGGACATGCTTATCTAGCTAAGCATCTCCACAAATGTGTGGTCTTGTCGAATCTCCTCTCTGCCCAGCTTGTGGAGAAGAAGAGGAAACACCTTTTCACTTTTCTGGGACGATGTCCGGTGTTCTCTGTCCCTAGAAACAAATTCCTTGGGTTTCCCTATATTACCTTTGATCAAGCCCTTTTATACAAAGGGCTCTCTGGCATAATAGGGTTCTGATTGATGTATACTAAACACCTACAGGTAAGGTGAATATGGAACCACAAGAAACAAGCATTGAGACGCCCTATGAGTTCTTTTTTTTATTTTTTTTTATTTTTTTATTTTTTTTTTTTTGAAAGAAACTATGCAGGGATTTCCCTCTCATAGCTGTGTTTTGGAATATAATGATACCAAATCTTTTTATACACTACCTGGCCATTTGGCTTGAGAATGCACCTCTGCCCTCCTTATTTATTTATTTTATTTATTTGACTCTCCATCACTCTTGTTTGGTCAAGAATTTGCGTTTGGTGGTTTGGGAGGGATTGAATCGGTTTTCCATCCAATAGGGAAGTTTTCACGATCCAGCCGACACCTTGAACTTAGAGATGGGATCTTTTGCTGATACTATAGATTTGGTGTCAGTTTGAGATCTTATCTATTTATTACTTACCTTTTACGGGAGTTACCATTTAAATCCCTTGATTTAAATGATCAAATGGCAGAAGAGTAATGGGCAATTTTGCCTTAACTCTTTTCCTTCTTTTCATAAGAAGGAAGCGTCCCTATTGTTATGTTATGCTACTCTCTTCTCGTTGAACAGACAAATATATAACAAAGCATGGACTCTGGCATCATCTGATAGATATGCGTTTCATTTTGATATTTATTCAGGTTAAGTCGACAGCTCCAAAATTACCAGAACATGAAAAATATGGGCTGGCAGGAAGTGTGGTGATAAATTTGCGCAGTGTTGTTGAAACTCCTGCCAATCGTGCTATTTATTTTGATACATTTTTTTACATCATTTCAACTTTTCTGTCACCTAAAAATTAAAGGTTTCAGAGCTACAGGAACAATCCAGGAAAACCGCATACAAATGTGCCCACTAGAAACTGTGAAATGTGTCCGTAAGAAAGATAGGGGTTATTATGATTTCCAGTATGAAGAGAAAAAACAAAATAACTTTTGCCCGATGGAACGAAAATTTGGTTGTAACTGTTGGTTCAACATTTGGAAACATTCAGCCCATAAAAAATATTTCCCGTTATTCAAAAACGCGAAGCAAAAAGGTTTTTATATCTCAGCCTCATCTTATTAAACAATACAATGCCAAAATGGGTGGAATCGATTTATGTGACAATTTAATAGCCAATTACAGAATAAGAGTTTGTGGCAAAAAATGGTGGTGGCGGCTTTTACTAATTACATTGATGTAGCCTTGATAAATGCATGGAAAATATCTCGACTTTCTACTACTGGAAATAAAAAGTCTTTTTTCAGATTTCAGATGTGAGATTGCATTATTCCTTTTGCAAACTCCTAATGAGAGTGTAGAATTAGCCAGAAATAGATCAGCAACAGGAAGATCTAGTAAATTCAGCATTCAAAAACCAACGCATGGAGATTTTAGACATTTAATCGTAAAGTCCGATAATAACAAAAGACTTTGTTGTAAAGAGTTCCATAGCCATACTGTTTATAGATGCAAAGCAGCTTTATATCATGAATGTAGTGAAGCTTTTCATGCTTGAATCTTTCAATTGAAATAATCTGTATTTGGAAAAGAAATATAATGTATATATTAATATTAAATTAATTACAAGTAAAGTGATTTGTAGATTTAGAAAACGTTATACAGCTAAAAAGTAATCCAGTGCCCCACTCAAAAGAAGCATCGCATGAGTAAAATCCTACTCACTAAACATCCGTAGTCTTATTCCGCTGACGTTGTGCAAACGCAACACTCGCTTTTGCCACAGGTAAGAGCATTTTTTAAATTTTAAATGTAAATTTATGTTATAAATGCTTAATTTAATATTTGTTATTATTTTCATGAGAAAAGAATCATTGTAGTTTGGCGGTTAATGGGTTAATCACTGAAAAATATGATAATTTATGTTAAATAACATTTTTGGATAAACTGTTTTTAATTGTGATAACTAAGATAATTTATGTTAAATAATACTTTTAGATAAACTGTTTTTAATCATATTTCAATAAATAACAGTTTAAGTTTTATTTCTTTTAGCATTCTTTAATTTGTATAAACACTGTATTTACCAAAATGCTTAATTCATTACATTTCCAGTCATAAAGAATTTTAATTCCTTATTTTTTTATTTATTTATTTATTTTTTTTTTTTACTTCTAATATATGTTTAATAGTATAAGTTTTATTTCTGGCAGTATTCTTTAATTTTTATGAGCACTGTATATACCAAAATGCTTCACTGATTACTTTTACAGTCATAAAGAATTATAATTCCTTATTTTTATTCTAGATATATGCTAGATACAAAAAATTAAAATCAGACAAATTTTTAATGCAGTATCAACCATGCATTAAAAAAAATTCTAATACTACACACAGGCAGAACAAAGAGAAGAGGTTAAAAAAAAAGTTTAGAATTTCTTTAAAACTGAAAGGCGTCAAAAGCAAGAAATATTATGGAACATAATGTTTCAAATTTTCCAAACTCAAAAGCATATATATATATAAAATAAACTAAGGATAACCATGATCATGAAGCTCAATTTACTTACAGTGGATTGATATCTCTTTCAACAGGACACCAAGCAAATATTTCACATACATTTAAAGTTTTATTTATATCTGATTTTACACATTTTCCAGTCTGGACACCTGCATAAATTGTACTTCAAATTAATTATCAAATAAATAACTACAGCAAAAAAGAAAAAATATTTAAAACATTATGCAAACATTTTAACTTTTCTTAGAAAAGGACAAAAATAAATATTTTATGCTTCCATCACAAAAATCAATAAAAATTTCAATATACCTTTTTTTGTCACCTTCTTTAAAATGCATAAAATAAATTTAACACGGAAAATTATTAATGTTATTTAACATCAGGAACTGAACACTGTGCTTAAATAACACTGTTTAGAAAACAATATATGCACGCTGAAAAAATTGAGCCCACAATTATAAAACATGGAATACAAATGTGATTTGGCAAGTTCAGTATATTTGATTAAACCTGCCACACCAATCAGCATAGTGGAGCAATACAATGTGCCTCTGAAGTGCACAGCTCCTAGAATGTAAAAGGATAGGTGTGGCAAGCGATGAACATTTACAACCATGCTGACAGCTTGTAATGAAAGATGCCTTTAAAATGTACTCAACAGCATTGCAGATAGCTGTCAGACTTTGAGAAGAATTGCATCATAGGACAAAAAAAGAGGCCGCTTGATCGAACATGTGGATCAGCCAGTTTATTGGTTGAAGTAATATGGTTGTTGAAACCAGTGGCTCAGAGAAGGCATAGTCAAACTAGGCCACCAATGTGCAATATGATCGTGCAATTAGAAGAGCTGCCACATTGCACCAGCTATCATCGATTCAATGCCATCTGCCAACTCACAGGGATATTCAGGGATATGATTCACAGAAGTCTAGGTTACACTGGGCTTAGATCTTGACATTTATTAAAATGCTTGCCATTGACACTCCACCATAAGCAGTGCCATCTTGCACTGTGCCAGTCTCGCTCAAGCTGAACAATGTCCAATTGAAGAAATGCAATTTTCATAGATGAATCAAGTGTTTCTTTCAGTTCTGATGACTGCAATATACGTGTCTGAAGATGGAAATGGTCCAGTGTATCACTTTTTATAGAGTGGCACACAGCCAGAACACAGGGTGTGACAGTCTGATCAACTGGAACAGCTGTTCTCTATTAGTTGTGCTGCAAAGTACTCTGACTGCTCACAGGTATATTGGCAACATTTTGCAGTTGATCATACTGCCTATACTAGCAGGTCATTCAGGTTCTGTTTTACAGCAGGACAATGCTTAAGCACATACAACGTGACTTACCAACAATGTCTCCGATGTGTTAATGCCTACCACTGGCCTGCCAGTCATCAGATCTGTCACCTATTGAACATGTTTGGAATATGTTGGGCAGGCAAATTCAGCTGTGCACAAATATATCCCAACTCGCTAACCAGGTACTCCATTTGTGGCACAATCTATCACAGAGAGACATTAGTAACTCAACAAACTCCATACCCAACAGAGTATCGGCTTGCGCAGCTGCCAGGTTTTACTTTAACAGTTATTAATTTTCAAATTCTTTGCATTGATACTCATAAATAATATGCTTTTTCACTCCAGTTTTTGATCATTTGGTTATCTAATCGAAAACTATACTACTATCCAGTTTCATAGTTCTGGAAAAATTCTTTATGGGTGCATATATGTTTTTGCAACAGAATGTATATGAAGCAAAAAAAAATCTACAGTAGGGGGGGGGAAGAAGAAAAGATAATTTAAAAATGCATTACTCCGGCATTTTTTAATCTTATTTTATGCTCCCTATAAATGAAAACTATTTGTTCACATATTACTAAAAGAGTCAATCTGAAATTTTTGAGATACACATAACTTTTTAAAGTTACAAAATTTTAGGAGTGTTCAAAGTAGTCTCCTCCAGCATCAATGCACTTCTGTAAGCAAATTTTCCAAAGATTAAATGCCTCAAGCCATTCATTTCTTGGAATCGATGAAAAAGATGCATTTATAACCTCATAAATCTCATCATCAAAAAGAAATGACATCCACACAAGTTCAAAAATAGCAAAAAGTCACACATAGCTAGATTAGGTGAATATAGGGTGGATATTCTATCACTTTGAAGCGTTTCTGTTCAAGAAACTCAGCTATCAATCTTGCTGAATAAGAAGATGCATTGTCATAGCTGAGCATGAATCCTTCAACATTTACTTCTTGAAGAATTTCTGAAATGTTATCCAATCTTAAGTTCCTTCTGTATCATTTGGTAGGTGCAGCGACTATCATCGATTAACATTTTCCGTATGGCAGACACATTATCCAGGATTACTGCTAACAATGCTCTTCCCATGTGTTCTTCTTTGTGAACTCTGTGAAAACTGCGAACTTGACAGTGAAACACTCTGTGAAAGTTCAACATTGCAAACTCTGTGAAATTCTGTAAACCATCTGAACAGATCAGCACCAGATGGATCTTTATTTCCAAATGCTAATTACAGACATTGAAAGCATTCTTCTTTTTACACTTTAAGATCATAGTGGGATAATGTTCTCATGTCAACTCCTTTTTTCCTTCAGCCTAAAATTTATTCTCTGCAGTTGGCCAATAAAAAAAATCCTCTGCTGGGCTAAAATAGTTCATATTTTCAAATTTAATCATTAGTTTTTTCTGCTACAATTAACGTCTGCATGTATCTAAAACATTTCAGAGTGACCTCCATGTAATTCCGATAACAAGCTATATTTTAAATGCTCCCCTTCCAGATATTTATATCTACTTATGCCCAACAAATCATAATACAGTACAAAGTGCGTAATCCGGACGTCCATTATCCGGACCTCAAAGCCACAAACTTACGCATGCGCGTATAGGGAGTAAAGCGTTTACACATATGCACTTCCGATAGTGAAGAAAGTGACAGAGAGGTTATTGAAAACGAAAAAATTTCAATTGACAAGTTAGTCGGTATTCTTGGCACAGCAATTATGGGACTTGAACAGCGGAACTTTGTAACTGAACAAGAAGTTACGTCTGTTTATAGAATTAAAGAGAAAGTATTATCACATAAAACGAAGCAACTTAAACAACTTACATTGAAAGAAATGTTTAATAAAGTAAACAAATAAATATTAAGCTTTTTTTTTTTTTTTTTGTAAATTTTGATACCCTTTAGATCATAATTGCTCTTTATTTCATAAATTACGGTTTCATATTTTTAATTGTATAATTTCTGCATGCCATCTTAACAGATTTAAATTGATGATCTATAATCCAGAAAAACCCCTAATCTGGAATCGCTGAAGTCCCGACGAGTCCGGATTACGGAATTTGTACTATATCAAGATTATTACACAGAAAACAAAATTAAAGAATACAGATCACAATGCTCAGTAACTTATATGTTTCTTATAATAAAATAATGAACAGTGGATTTATTCATAACTTTGTATCGGTTTATTTAGTAAATTTGTATTTTTAAATAAAAGCTCTTTTTAGGAAAACAAGCTGCTTAACATACATTTGAAAGTGAATCATGAAAATTTAATCAATATATTATCTTGCTGTACCTACGACAGAATATAAGAGTCATCCGCTCAAAAATTACTGAATTTAAAATGCTTCAAAAACCTAAAATAGTTTACAATATAGTGTTTCAGACATTTAAGTCTTTGAAGTAACACAGTACCTTGTAGCAAAGAAATCATAAGAATAGCCGTACATTGTGAATTAACAAGACTCGTGGAAGTAATGTTAAAAAATTTTTAAGGAAATATTTATTACTATATAATAAGTACATAAAACTGATTTAACATACTTGAAAAGTAAACAAATAAGTACTATTCTAATTAATATATTTCTAGCATATAAATCAAGGTTCAGGTCCAAAAAAAGTATGCTTTAAAAACTCTAATTCATTAATACAATGGGTTATAAAATACAGTATCAACTTCAGTTGACATTTACTAATAAAGTTAATAATTATACTGAATAAAAGTGACTAGTCTTACCCTAGTTTAAAACATTAATTAAAAGAAGATTATTTTTATTGATTAAAATTTTTATAAATGCCCCCCTACAAAAACTTACAAACCCTTACAAACCCCCCCCCCCCAAAGAAAAGGAGAAAGGCAGTTCTCTGTACTCCAAGAAATGTTTTTAATTTAAAAAATTATGCAATTTAACTATTTCTTACCGACTTGCATATCCACAGTCCTCATCTTCATCTGAAATTAAAACCTTTATTTACTTCATTTTTTATCTTTTGTTCTAGCTACTACTCCACTTTATATTACTTTCCCATATATCAATTATGCCAACAAACAGTACTCTTAAAATCTTTTAATGTTTAGACTGCACTCGGTCTATTTAAAAGCATGTATATGATGATGTACTCATTTCCTTGAATTTCTTAAAATCCATTTCACCATACCGTCTTCAAATCCTGCCTTGTTCGGGCATTTAACCGATTTAAGATTAATTCAGCATACTTTCAAATACATGTTTTTTTGTTTTTTTTTCTTTCTTGGATTAGTTCTCCCTTCATAGGCACGGCATGACAGTAAGACCTAAATGCCAAATATACCTAAATTTACCGGTTATTTGGATAAAATCCTAGAATTGACTCGAACACCATGCCAATTTTTGTGCTGAAAAATATGGTACATTCCTCTTTGCTAATCATCATCTGCAAAGACTTGGGAAAATGAGCATTAAATGACTTTATTTATGCTCCCACATATAAATTTGAACTATGAATAATTCATCTATGCAAATGAACTGTAACATTTTCCCTACAAAAAGTAAAGCACAAATAAATAAAGCTGAAGAAATTTACCCAACATACCATTTCCTGTGATGAAAGACAAGCCTTGACGGCAGTCTGAATCAGACTGACACAAAGTGCCTACCTCTGGATCCTTAAAAGAGAGTACACATTTATTAACATGAGTAACACTCAACAGCAGCTTTCAATGCATGTGTGTCTCACTTACGCTTAAAAAATTGGTTTTAACCTATTTTAAATGTTTAACTGCATGGCTTTAAGTCCTTGACTGAAATACAAATTCATAAACACATTACAAAATACGGTTATTTTTTTTAACATATAATACTTTTTTGTGATCACAAGAAATAGGCTGATTGATATTTGAGTTTGTCAGTCCACATATGTATTTTTAAAGTGAAAACTAAGGATAAAAAAGCTAAATTTTTTTTAAAAAAATAGACATTAAAATTTTCCGCACTACAAGCAAACAACATAATGCCTTAATGCTTGATTTGTTTGCTTACAAATCTATTGTTTCTTACCTAACTTTTATAGCATTCTGTTTACCTACTTGTAAGAAGAAAAAGAAGTATTGCTTTTTTCCAAAACGGATTGTAAAATAGATTATAATGGACTCAAAAAGGGATTTGTTTATGATATCTAAACGTACCTATGTGTATATGTACCTCGCATAAATCAAAATTTATTTTCCATGGAATGTTGAAGTTTTGTGTATGAGACTGCTACATCTAGTTGTGCCCCTCCCTTTTTTATTGAAATCGGTAGTACCAAACATATATATCCACCCACTTAACAAGTTTAAAAGTCCTTACTGGCCTTTATTTTTTCAACTGAAGGTTGTAGTCATATACAATTACAAAAGTGTTTCAAATGACGAAAATATTCATATTTCAGCACTGCCAATTTTTTTTTTAAATTAATCTTCAACAAATAGTGAAATCTAACTTTTAATGCAATCTCCCAGTTCCATATTTGGGAGAGTAATGAAAAAATAAAATTTTAAGAAGTTTACTCCCATAAATTGGCAGGATATTTAATTATTAATAAAATTTGCTGTTTTTGATGTCCTTTTCAACTTTCCTTGAGTGATTTAATTAAGTTAAAATAATCTGAGGAAAGTTTAAATGAAGTGCAGCAAAAATATGCGTATAATTTAATATGCTGTACAAGGAAGCCATTTGGTCACCACACCAAATTTATTTAATTAGTAACATGGTTGGGTTTCATCTACTGTAGTCAGGAGAGTAGAAATAAGTGGGTAAGGAGGTAGAATTACCAATGATGCATTCCTAGGGCTGCTAAAGAGAATAAATCTATCAACAGCTTAACTTCATTTAAAAATAAATGTTTTATTATTTCTGCAATGAGATGCAAGGTAATTAAATATTTTTTTCATAAAAAATCCAATAAAAGGTGTGGTAGATTTATTATTTATTTATTCATTTATGATTAAAGGGAGAGATTAATTCCTGAACAACAAGCAAGTAACAGAAAAATTACTCAAAACAATGACCTATTTATTACTTTTCATTAAAAAAAAAAAAAAAAAAAAAGAGTTCACTATTTCCTAAAAACCTTACTTTACTGATGCCTTTTGCAACACCTTAGATCAGTGTTTTCCAAACTGGGAGGCGTGGATTAGTCTAAGGGGAAGCACGAATATTAGCCAGAATTGGTGCAGGTGCAGCTAATATAATACGTAACATATAGGTACACTGCTCAAAAAAAAAAATGGGACAGTCCTATATCTCCTGATCTACTGGGCCGATTGACAAAATTCAAACTGTGTTCTTCATGTCTCGAAAGCGTGACTTAGGATATATATTAGATTTATATATAGCACTATTCTAACATAGGTATTTTGACACAAAATCGGACTTTTTCTGAAATAACATACCAATTTTTTTTACATATTTCAATTCTACGACTCAATTACGCCTAAATAAATATGAAATTTTGTAAATTTTGGAGCAAAATTTACGGAGAAATTCACAAATTTATGTTGGCACTTTTTTGTCAGTTTGCGCCAAGAATAGTTCACTTGGCGAACTTCTTAATATATGGCAACCTAGTTTCCTTTCCCGTGAAAGGAAAAAAAGTCACCATCGTTCCTTTTTTCCAAATAATGTTCTTTATATTATATTTTTAATTATAACTTATTAAGTAATTTTTTCTTTTTCGAATTTCATTTTAATTGTTTAAGTTGCACTTTTTTTTTTTTTTCGAATAACTGTTTTAAAAATTTCTATTTACCTATTGGAACTGCGTAAATAAAGGTGCAACGTTTATTCTTTTTCAAATAGTTTTCTTTATATATTTTTTCGTCATAGTTATTATTTTAGGTAATTTTTAAATTTTTATACTTTTATTTTAATTGGTTGTGTTGCATTGTCTCTTCAGATAATTGTTTTAAAATTTTCTATTTATTCCTTCGAATTGAGCATTTTTAATATATTTATTATTATAAATTTTCCAGAATTTTGATTTTATTTATTTGAATTGCGTTTCTTTCGGAGGAATACTTTGTAACCCGGACTACGATGCGTTTGAAAACCGCATATATTAAAAGAGAAAATACAGTAAAGCACAATTAACACGTCTTTTCTTTCAATGTTCCGTTCAGAAAAGATATATATAAATAAGAGAGATGTATAACCGACATTTTAACTTAGGATGAATTGCATACACTGCTTTAAACAGTTTTATCATTGTGCCCATTGCTTTTACACAATTTTATCCTACATTTGGCTTCTTAAATATTTCATATTTTAGTCAAATATTTTATTTTTGAAATCGTAAGAATCAAATATCATAAGATTAAAAAGTTTTAAATTAAAAAAAATACAAATACTAAATTTTACCCAAAAATTTATTTTTTCTTCTCTTTTTCTTCAGGCATTCTACTTTATTCTTGCTCTTTTTCTTTAGGCATTCCGCAACTATATTAAAAAGCATCCAAATTTTCGGAATATCTTGATATTTTTACAATCATTTTAAATAAAGTTATCGCCTTCCATTTCATAAAGGCCCACACACGGCCGAGCGGTAAAGTCGCTGAACACTGGTAGTTCACTCCGGGGTTCGAATCCCGGTAAACGGGCTGGTTGCATGGGCGTTTTCGTGTATTTTCTCATGTGTACCGTGTATGCCAGCTGATTTCCCTTAGAAAGTTCTTCACAACGGCATCCTTCCTTTTAGGCAGATAGCCCTACTTTGATGTAACTTAATAATTCAATTCAATCCATTTCATCAATATTTGGTCAGAGCCTTTATCAGTCTTTAGAGGCTAAACATTTTGAAGGTATGAGATGAAAGGAAAGACTGGTTTCATAAAGAGGTTTTTGGCCTCGGAAAAGCATTACACATGTTTCATGCCTGTTCACATCTTGGACCGTCATGCACCGCTCGGCCGCAATCTGCATCGGCTCATCATCATAAGGACTGAATATTCATACTGGATATGAATCTTCTTAACAGTTATAATCATGGTCGTTTTGTACTTTTCTGTGATAACCACACTCTCAATTGATGGTATTTGCTGGTGTACATGTTCAAGTGTTTTTTTTCTTTAAACACCTAAATTCTTTGAAATATCCTGAAAGTATATTCAAAAGCGTCCAACTTTTTGAAACATCTTGGTATGTCTGACAGCCAAATTTCCCTGCAAATTTTTGCTTACTTTTCTCCCTAATTTTTTTCTTTCCTTCTACAGTTATTTTCAGTGCACACACAAGAAAATTAAGATTTTTCGATTGCTAGACTTCCATAAATTTTGCATTCTTGTCAATTTTTAAAAATATCAATTACATGAATTGCGTTTCAGTTGAAGACAGCTTTTCATTTTCTAGTCATTTTAACTATAAATAAAGTTTAAAGCGAAGTCCAAAGGATAAATATTTTAATTAAAAGATTTTTGCTAAATGACAAAGAAATAAAACAGTCCAGCAGGGTTTATTCTGTACCACCGAGTAACCCGATTCTTATATCAGCTGAAACAATCTAAAATCATTAAAGATCATGTGTTTTTATACAATCTATAACGCGAGAGAAAATTAGCTTCTTAAAAAAAAACATTCTTTCTAAGAGGATTAATATAAAGATATTTAATATATATATTTTTAAAGCTGGGACTTGAACCAAACTGTCAAATTTTTAAAGTTTAATTTACATGGGTGGTTATAATTAAAGTTCCAATTTGAAATGGCCATAAAAGGAAAATTACCGTACCAAATGTTATCAAACTTGGGAATGTGTAAAGGAGGTTACTGGAGAATTTATTTTCCGCGGAAAAAAAGAGTTCAAAAACTCACCACCAGGGGAAAATGGCGCTGTATACAAGATTGATAAATGAAATAAGACACAAAAACATCTGTTTAAAATATGTTTAATATTTTCCGAAACGTGTTACACAAAGCATGTTTCAATGTAGCGTCCCGCATTTTCCGAAAGCAAGTTAAATCCTGTTACTGCATTCTCAACAGCAGCTCTTAGCATATCAGGAGGAATGTTACGGATATGTCAGTGTATCACATTTTTCATTTCTGCCAAATTATTTAGATTATCACCATAAACAGTGCTTTTGAGAAAACCCCATAGCTAAAAGCCACAGAGGTTGAGGACTGGTGGGAAGAGGGGAAGTGTTGGCGGTTATAACAGTAGCTGTCATTCAACACTAAACAGTGTGGAATGACTGCTATGCAATCGAATGCAGTAGGAGAATGCAATGGAACTAGATAGATAACATGAGGGATTTCTTTGGCCCAAATCGATTAAAAGCGTTTTGAATCAGTATCTTTATGTTTTAGGGCCGAATTCAGGCTTCAAAAATTACAAATTAGCGATCTGTAAGAAAATGATTTCCAGATTGTACGGACTTGTGCGAGTGATTTGCGATCTCACATTTTCTAATCTAATTCGTGGTTTTCACGGACGAATTTCTCACTTACACGGATGGCGCACTCAACGTTTATCGAATTTAACGCCTTTAAATGGTAATTTGCTTACTTCAAAGTTTCTTAAGGGTCATATTAAACCCGTGTAACAAAAGGTTAAGTTAGATTCCGACCCATATTTCTATTAACAATATTGCATACAGCGCCATTTTCCCCCTGGTGGTGAGGTTTCGAACTT